CAGATTACACCTTTGCCATGTACCCCCCGTCCATGATCGCCACGGGCAGCATCGGAGCAGCAGTCCATGGACTCACCATCTCCATGAACAGCTTTGGCAGTGAAGCTGTCACAGAGCTCCTGGCTGGGATCACGGGCACTGAGGTGGTGAGTGGGCACAGGAAACAGCTGCTGGGAATCTTCCTCTTCTGCTCCTCCTTCCTCGAGGAGCAGCTTCTTTCCATGGAGGTGGCAGAGCACTGGAACAGGGAGGTGTGGTCTGCCGTTGTGGAGACATCCCAAACCCACCTGGATGTGGCAGTGAAGCTGTCACAGAGCTCCTGGCTGGGATCACGGGCACTGAGGTGGTGAGTGGGCACAGGAAACAGCTGCTGGGAATCTTCCTCTTCTGCTCCTCCTTCCTCGAGGAGCAGCTTCTTTCCATGGAGGTGGCAGAGCACTGGAACAGGGAGGTGTGGTCTGCCGTTGTGGAGACATCCCAAACCCACCTGGATGTGTCCCTGTGTTGGGGGTTGGACTGGATGGTCTCCAGAGGTCTCTCCCAACCCAGACCAGCCCTGAGATTTGGCTGTTCACAGTGGTTGAGAGAGCCTAGGCCACAGTGAGTCCTGCCCAGGCACCATGGGCTGAGCTCAGGAGCCTTTGAAGTGCCACACAAAGGGTCTGTTCCCTGCAGGGCAGGTGTTGGCAGGATCGGGTTGACTGGGTGGGATGGGGCAGGGCAGAGACCTGGCTCAGCATCTGTTCCTGCACTGGTGTCTGGTTGCAGGTGCCCAGGCTGGGGCAGGGAGGGGGCAAGGGACATGGAGCCCTTCAGCCTTTGGGGGCACTGAGGTGGTCAGGGGTGTCTGCCAGCCCCTCCACTGCCCTAGAGTGGGGAAAGGGAACCCTGCTGGGCTCCCCAGCTCACTCCTGCTGCAGTGATCAGGAGCTTTCCCTCTGCCAGGGGCTCCCTTTGATCCTCTGTCCTGCCCAGCAGCACAGCTGGGCATGGGGTCGGTTACAATCCCCTGGCAGGGCCTGGACAAGGAGCTGGTGCCCTGGCAGGGAGGGGCTGCCCAAGGCTTTGTGCAGGCAGGAGGGACAGGCAGGAGGCTCCTGCTCTGTCTGTGAGGATGGAATTTGGTTTTTTTTCAGGAATCAGTGCAGGCAGCTGCTCACAAGCTGCCACAGGGATGGCACAGGGACTGTAACCTGCTCCGGGTCAGGGTGGGAACAGGTGGGAAGCAGAGAGAGCTCCACTGAGGGAGGGAGGGGAGCTGGGACAGAGCCCAGCACACCTCTGCCCCTTCCCCTCCCTCCCCAGCCCACAGAGGGCACCTGCTGTGCCCACAGCCTGCCCAGGTGTGAGGAGCTGCACAAACAGCCCAGGCAGGAGCACAGCAGCTCCTGGAGGATCCTGGCCCAGCTCCTGGGGGAGCACCTGGCCTTGGCCTACAGTGTCTCTGGTGCTTCTCCCTGAGCCTTGCAGTGTCCCCAGGCTAAGACTCAGTTTGCCCTTTGGCTCCACACTGGAGGAGTGATCACTTCCTGCAGCTGCTGCTGGGAGTGCAGGGATGGAGGACAGTGGTACTGGGCTGGACCAGTGGGAGCCTGGCTGTGTGTGGCCAAACTGGCTTTAGCTTCTCTGCCAGAGATCAGATGAGATGCCCATGATGATGGAGAACTTGGGGATGGGATGGCCATGGTGATGGAGAGCCCAGAGATTGGCTGACCATGATGATGGGGATCCCGGGGATGGGTTGGCTATGATGATGGAGAATTTGGGGATGGACTGGGTGTGGTGATGGACAGCCTGAGGATGGACTGGGTGTGGTGATGGACAGCCTGAGGATGGACTGGGTGTGGTGATGGACAGCCTGAGGATGGACTGGGTGTGGTGATGGACAGCCTGAGGATGGACTGGGTGTGGTGATGGACAGCCTGAGGATGGACTGGGTGTGGTGATGGACAGCCTGAGGATGGACTGGGTGTGGTGATGGACAGCCTGAGGATGGACTGGGTGTGGTGATGGACAGCCTGAGGATGGACTGGGTGTGGTGAACTGGGTGTGGTGGTGGACAGCCTGAGGATGGGTTAGCTGTGGTGATGGAGAGCCCAGGGCCAGGTGGCCATGGCACTTGGCCAGAGCTGTGTGCTGGCCCGAGGCTGTGCAGGCAGGGGGCTGTGCAGACGGGAAGTGTGGGAAGGGAGTTGGGTGTTGCTATTTTCGCTCGCCACATCCTCTGTCAGTTTCTAAGAACCAGCGGTGGATTCCTGGTAAGAGATTTGGGGTGTGACAATATCCAGCCCTGCGAGGTGTGAACTGCATCCCCTGGGGACAGCCCAGCTCTGCCTGGGGACCTGGGCTGGGCTGTGCCTCTGGTGACACCTCGGGGTGCTCTGGTGTCCCAGTGGGAGTTTCCTCTTGGTTACAGCTTGTGTGGGGAAAAACCAGAGTGAGGTTTGCATTTATTGCCAGTGATGCTGCTGCTTGCAGCCTCCTGTGTGTGTGGGGCTGGTGTGTCCCCAGCACTTCCTGTGAGGAAGGTTTGAGCTGCATCTTGCCGTGATGCTGAGCTCACACCCTGCCCCTGGATGCCTTGGGAAGCTCTGATGGGCACAGTGGCTATTCCTGGAGAATGTGGCTGAGCAGGGAGGCGTGGAAAGGACAGCCAGAGCGTGGGGTGTCACCTGGGGAGGGACCCACAGCACGGAGAAGCTGGAGATGCCTCTTGGTGGAGAAAAGCTCCTGTGTGTTCGAGTGCTCTGGGGGTCAGAGCTGTTCTGAGGCTCCACCTCTGAGCACTCTGAGCCTCCTGTCTCTCTCCCTGTCCCCAGGACTGCCTGAAGGCCTGTCAGGAGCAGATCGAGGCAGCCCTGGCCGAGAGCCTCAAGCAGGCGTCGCA